ATTCTGTTGTTTAAACTTTGTTTTCTAATATCTTAAGGATGCAATCTGCAACAATCTGAACATAAGGATTACTTGGGAAACTTATAGAATTGTGTGATTACTATACTGCTCTCAATTAAAAAAAAAGCTATAGCTGGCACGTAAATTGCTACAGACTGCATATTTATTATATTTTGTTTTCTTACAGCGAATGAGAGAAAAATATACTACCCTAAAATCTGAATATTAAAATAATAAAATCACATCTCAAACAATAAGGTCTGCATTATTTTATATATCAAAATAATACAATCTTGCCTCAAATAGCAATGGTAGATGAACAAAGTTTTGTGACTATCCCAGAGATCATCACTGGCTTATCAGTTAAAAGGAGAAGAATGGAGTGTTAATTAATTAACAGATGTCCTTAACTTCTTGTGCCTAATTGAATTAAAATGACAGAGGAGGACATGCATAACTGATTCTACTTCTCCCAATAGACCAAGGCAAAGGCATATTTGCAGTTAAGATATTAAAGTATTAAGTATCTGGGGGTGCAGATAACTCTCCAGGCCTCATCCTTAGTGAAGCGCCCAACCCAGCGTCTGCATTTTCTGCATTTCCTGCATCGGATGAGGAGAGCACATCTCTCTCCTTCTGTCCTAGCCACTTTTTACAGAGGCACAATTGAGAGCATTTTAACAAACTGCATCACTGTCTGGCTTGGTGGCAGCAGTGCCTCAGATAGCCAAGAAGATCATAGGAAGCTCGCTTCCTGGTATTCAGGATTCTGCTTACAAGCGCTATGTGCTTAGAGCTCAAAGCATTATTAGAGACCCCACACACCCACTTTATGGTCTGTTTCTGTTGCTCCCCTCTGGGAGGAGGTTTCGAAGTATTTCTAGCAGGACTACCTGATTCTGTAATAGCTTTGTTCCCTATTCCATCCGTCTGGTAAACTCGCAAGATTCGTTTTTCTCGTCATGCACATATATATATAATCTGAACTAGACTGTTTTGTCTCCATGTCATATAATATATGTGGGTATATGCATAATTCTGTATTTATTTATTTATGTCATATTGATATAGTGTATATTGGAGGTGGTGAACCTTTTGAGAGCCGTATGCAACAAGATTTTATTTTAATGTATGCCAATTAGTGTACATTCAAGGTGACAATAAAGTATTCTATTCTATTCTATTCTCCCTTTTAATAAGACCTAGTCAACTTCTCTTAGGGATTGAACAAGGAATGTTGGCAAAGTAGACAGCTACTGAAAAAGCCCCACCAAATAAACTTGAACTATAGAATTTTGGGCTACAACATGCATCTTTCTATAAATCTAAGTCAAAAACTCATTTCTTCAGCTTCTTCATTCTGCAACAACATTAAGAATCTAGATGTGCTTTCTTCTATTTAACTATAAAACCAGTATCCTATGAACAATCTAATTTATATAAATACATCAGATAGAACAAAAATGCATAATTTATAGTTCTTCAAAACTGTTAATGGATGACATGTAGAAATATAGAAACCATCTGTGCTAAAGGACTGAAATTAGTAAAGAAATGAATGAACCTGAGGTGTTTTCCCTGCATGAATGAAAGATGCCTTCCCAAAACAGGTCCAGTTAATTCTAAATAGCAATGAAAGATCAAACCTGACCTTATAAAGCTAAGTAATACTTGCCTACTTACCTAAGAATTAATACAATGTAGCAGTTAGTGCTGGAATGACATCCTTCAAAGAAAGATACACAAAGCTTAATGGTTTACCCATTATCTCAAAGCCTAATCTATTACAGAGGCTACTATGAGAGTACAATGGGGGAGAAAACAAAGCTCACAAATTTTCCTGGAGATCAAGGACAACTTAAATGTAATAAATATTCCATCAATTCAGTTTTGTACAGATATCTGTAAATGTAGCCTTGCAGGTTGCTACTTCACTTTTGCTGTAATTCCTATAGACTTTAAACAGGGTTGTGCTGTGATCTGCTTTTGAAGGCAAAGGGGTATTTCAGAGACCATAATACCTGTCCGCAATTCTTTAAACTAAGACTATCTTCCCAGGATTTTGCAGCAACTGCTGAAGACAAAGCTGTTTTACAGAGTTGCATATATGTGCTAGGTTCACACCTCTGGGCACTCCAAAGCACTTCTTTGTCTTCAAGTTTATGGCCTGAATAGTCTGACCTTTAAATAGGCCAATCTTCATAATTTAAAAAAAAAATGTTTTAAATACCTGCCACAGTATTAAAACTAACAAAACTGAGACAAGATTAGAGCAGGAACAGTTCAAGAAAGCAATAAAAAAAAGTAACTGGCTGAAACTAACTTGAAAGTACACTCAATAGTACTTCCTGCATATAAAAACACACACCCCTGCAAATTCACTGAAAGTTTATCTACTGTTACACTTTGTAAACCCAAACTACAATCTATTAAAATTGATCTTTCAATTTTGTAATGATCTTTTTATGGTTAATTAAATAGTATACAATTCTGTGAATATATTAAATGTTCTAACAGCAAAATTTTTATTCACAAAAGACATGCAATGTGTTATGTTTTCTTTCAAGGTTTTGCATTCCATGCTAAATGAGCCTTTTAGAACAATTTCAAAAGCCATTACACTTACATTCTTCTTCCTATGCTCAGAATTACTAAGCCATTCTAAAAGTTGGGATTAAATATTATGCTTCATTGACAGAAAATAGAAACCTAAATCAGCAATTCAGATATAATTGTCAATCTCCCCCATTTGCAGATATATTCCTTCAATACTACTGGTCATTACTGTACTTTAGGACTTTTTTTTTTCATTTTAGTCCTTTAATAAGCTATTCAGTTTTGTGAATATTTCCTATTACAGTCCCCATTTCCTTTAGCTGTAAAATGACTTGCTGTTATATTTATGCTAAACATAAAAAAACTGACAGGCTTCTTTGCTATATCATAACATTCATGTTAGAAAGAGTTTTTTGGGCATAAGGAAATGAACTATTTGTTAATTGGTTAATTAACAAGGTTTAATTTGGAATCATACAATTAATCATCATTTGGACTGAAGATCTTAATTCTCCAAATAATGTAACTATCAATGTCCCTCACACAATTAGCTGAAGAATCAAACTGAGCACACCTTACTCTAACATTATCTCCAAATATGAATAGTGTCAAATATATTACCTGCCTACTGAATTGTCATGTAAACCCGTTAAAAAAAAAGAATGCTTGGTATTTGCATATATGTATGTTTGTGTGCATGCGTACCATATATAATGAGCAGCCACTTCCATGAGCACATATTTATACTATTTCAAACAGCTATATTAGGAATGATTGAAGAAAATACATAATGGAAAGAAGGAAGTATTCTTTATTCTTGGTAAATGTGAACATGAGAATTCCCCCCCCCCCGTTTTTTGTTTTTTTTAAACATAGGTGAGCAGAAAACTGGGGGTGGCATTCCAGAGACATTTCAGCAAAAGTATCCTAGTTTTCTGATTCCCTGACCGGCCTTCAACCTGGCATCAACTTAATGCCAGCCTTGGCATTTAAACTCTCTCCCAATGAAACTACTCAACCGTAGTGAAATGGAAATGGCCAACAATGGAAAGACAGAAAGAAAAGGATAAACACTCCCCAGGTCTCCCTCAGTAATGGCAGTAGTAGGATGACTTTACCCAGTTAATTATACTTCAAACAAAACAATTCTAAATCATTGAGACAAACAGCAGTAAGGCTGAGGAAAGCCGACTCAAGTGGCTCCAATGAGACATTTCAAGTTCCAGGAACTATCGCTAGCAAGACATCCCATTAAGGACTCCTCCAGTCAAATGAGAACAGAGAGGATTGCCAGCTTTCCCCATTACCCTAATAATCTTCCTCCCACGCTCATTTTCCCGCAAGCCACGACGTGGCTCGCTCCAGTTGGTTTGGACGCGGCCCCGGGTAATGACGAGTTAGAAACCAGACTGAAGTCCAGAAAGGAACCATCTGCTTTTTTTTTCCAAAGAAAGCCCCCGAGAAGGGGCTCAGCAGAGACTGGCTCTTCCCTCCCGGTCTGAAAAGAGAGCCAGAATGAGCCAGAGGGGCTAGAAACCCACCCACCCACTCTCTCCCGCTGGCCCGGGAATGTCTTGGCGCTCCCCCGCCGTAGAAGGCGAGGAAAAAAAGCAGCCGGTCTCACCTCCACTTCTCAAAGGGGAGGAGGAGGAAAGCAGAAACGCAACGTAGATGGAATCGCGCACACCCGCACTGCACCGAGGCGAGAGAGAGAGAGAGAGCGAGCTTCGCCTTCGCCTCCCCCCGGAAAGATGAAAGGCGGCTTTCCCTCGCTGGAAAACTCCCGCAAGCCCCGGGCTTTCCCCAGGAAGGGAACGAGCATTTCTTCCCCCCCCCCCCGCCGCCACACACACACACACACACGCACACACCGCCGCCACTACAGCATACGGCAGCTTTCCCCGGACGCGCTGGACGTCCACGCCCATCATCCGCAGCCATGTTGCCGGGGATGATGGGCGCGACTCATCCACTCTCCCGAAAGGTCGCTCGCTGCCTAGCTTGGGCAGGTTCTCCACGCAGCGCAAAACGCCTGCCCAGACACCAGGATCGGGGAGAGTGGGAGAGACTGAAAGGAAAGCCTCCCCGCAGGCAGGCAGGCAGGCAGGCAGGCGCCACTTCTCAACGGGGGAAAGCGGCCGGGGAACCAGGGGAACGCCAGAGGACGGCGGGCGAGCCGGAGAGGAAGCTCTTTCCCGCCCGCCTGGGTGAGAAACTAGTTCTCCCTGGACACGCTGCACACCCACGAACACACACACACGCACACGCCACGCCGAAGAGCAGAGTTTAGAGCCTCCGGGTGAGCCGGGGAGGCTCAGGCGGAAACGCCGGCTGGAGAAGAGTCCCTCCGCCCCGGAGAGTCCGACAGCAAAGGCAGCAAAGGTCCACCCGCCAGCCCACGACGGCGCCCGGAGAGCCAGCGGCTCGCTCCACGTCCCCCTTACCTTCCTGCCGCCTCCGGCCAGCGCGGCGCTTCCCCCAGAGTACATGTAGTAGGCGATCCCCAGCACCCAGAGGAAAGCGAAGCAGAGCAGCAGCCGAGACCTGCGCCGCATTATTCTCCCGCCCGCCCAACGCTGAGCAGTGGCACCAGCCGCCGCCAGGCCAGCAGGAAACGGGCGGCAGGCGCTGCCGCTACCTCCACCGCCGCCGCCCGCCGCCGCCGCGCAGGGTCAGGGGGCAGAGGGCGAGCGCCCACCCCCTGGCCAATCGCGAGCCGCGCCGCCCCGCCTCCCGGGGGCGGGGGCGGGGCGAAGAACGTCGCCCGGACTGCCGCACGTTAAGCCTCCTGGGGTCCCTCCGGTTTGTCCGCGACGGGCTGAGCCGGCTGTGGGCGCGGGAGAGCAGGCAGCTGGCTCCCTTGCCTGGAAGTCCCGCCAGGCTGCTGCTTCTGCGGTTGGGAGGTGGGGGAACCCATCTTCCCATTGCAATTTCCAAAATGCCCTTCCAAAGACGCGCGAGCAAAGCGGCGTACTGGAATCTCTTGGGTTGGGGGTGGGGGTGGGAAACGAAATTTGGATTTCAGCAACGTGGCTTCAAGCCTCGCCTCTCGCATCGAACGGGAGCTCCTCGGGTCTTGATCCCTAAGGTCGGAGAAAACGAAGTGTAGCCGACTTTCTAGGAGAGAGCTTGTAAGATCAGGAAGAAATGGTGTAATGCGCGTTTTCCTCACTTGAGTTTTTAAATGTCAAGGAAATCGTTTTAGGAGCTGCAGGGAGAAGTTGCAGGATATCCTGATGAGATTTGCCCTGAACACAGCAGGATCTAATTATTTCCAAGCATAGTTGTTTAGGATTGTACTGTTCCTAACTGCTTACTCGTGGCAAGGGTGGATGGAATATCCCGTACAGGAGCACAGATCTGCAAACTGCCCTCACCGATGGTTCTGTGCAAAGATTTGAGCATATAGGAAGGCAATTACTAATGATGGGGCCTTATGCCACTTCCCACCTGATTTCATAAATTGACCAGTTTGGTTGTGGGTTAATATTTGATATTCTGACAGGTTTAGTTATTCTGGGAATGTTATGAAAAAATAATAGTTATTGGGCTGTATTTATTACAATGATAAAGAAGCATAAGGAACACCCTATAAAAAATTCACAATAGCCTATCTTTATTTTTGTACATCAAAGCTACTATTTTTAAACTAAAAATAGTCTATCATGATTGGGCAGAGGGACCAGAACTCTAAACTGGCAGATGCCAGTGTGTGCCAGTGAAGCATAATGTGCTAACAAGGGAAAAAATATACACTGGCTAGTGTCATTGCACTAGGAATAAGTAGCATATAACAAGGATAGGTAGACGAGCGAGATTCACAGTAACAGGAATAATATGGAAAAAAAACAGTATGGACAGTCAATTGAAAGGAGATAAGACACTCTTTGGAATTTCCTAACACTCATATTTTTTAAAAAATGAAATGAATAAGACCCAGTAGTTTAATTCATTGTAGTTGTGATTGGTTTTCTAGCTCTACATGGTACTTGGAAGGGGCATGAGGGAGAAATTGAACAATATGATATTGCCTGCCTTCACTGCATCAGTTGGCACATGGGAAACATGGGGACACACTCCATATAATGCCTACCCTGTAATATGAATGAGTTTCCCATATGCCCATGTGGGATCTTCATTGAATGCAAATTGTCCAAAACAGAAAGGATGTGGAGCTGAATGAATTTATCATGGCTTCATGAAACTTTAAATAATAGGTTATAGCAAATATAGGGAATCTTAATTCCTAAGATTTCCCCCATTTCCCATGTGTGGTCCTGAATCATTTGATCTCATCATTTTTCCTTATCCCAAACCAACCTCTACAAATTGGGTCACCTAAGGAATTCATATCACAGAAGGTTTGGAGGGGGTTTTGTGTGTGTGTGTGTAAAATTTTTGGTTATTCAAAGAGGTGATAGATGATTCCAAAGAAGTTTTGTTTTGTTTTACCAGGTGGAAAGGGGAAAAAGAGTGCTCCATGTTTATCACTGAATCTGCCATTGGAGATTCTTCAGATTGTTACTTATGAATAGTTTGGAGATGAAGAAACTGCTTGGAGAGTGTGACTTTCTACCTTGCTAAATATAACTGATGGTGTTCATGTCTACCTACAGTATTCTTCCTATCTACTCTGTGAGTGACAGAGTTTTTTATACCATTATTTTAAAGCAACAGCTTTAAAATTTTGAAAAACCTGGCCAATTGGTCACATAACTCTATGGAAATGAAATCCTCTCAAATGTTTATTCTGAAGGACTCTTGTCAATACTATCTATTTTGTCTCACTGTTGTGGGATACAATTAAATGAGTTATATAGTTAGAGGACATAGCTATTTTGACAAACAGTCAAAATTGAATTGTTTCCTATATACCATACTGGCTCAGTCAAGTAAAAAAAAAATAATCCAGGATGAACCGTGTAACAAACAGCTGCCCTGTATAATTTTTTTATTAGGCTATTTCTTCCTCTTCTCCCTCCCCCCTCTGCCAGGAGTGTTGCCCTGAAAAGGGAAGGCCAGGGCACAGAAACATACTTGTATTAATAATTTATTGGAATTAATTGCTTGTATATCTCATTTACAAAAATAATTGAGCCCCGAATCATTCCCTTTCTTATATATATGAAAAAATATAAGCACATGCACATGTAATGCACATTGTGAGGAAAGAAGGAAGGAGGGAAGAGATGAGGTACATTTTGAGAAGGGAGGGAGGGAGGGAGGGAAAGATGAGATACATGACATGACATGAAAGAGTAGCGGCATTGGGAAAGATAGGAAAGGATAGAAAAGAAAAAAGTTAAGCAAGAGTGGAAATGAAGGGAAAAAGTAACTGACATGATGGGAAAGAAAAGGTAAGACCGAAACCTGTTTAAATGTTACATAAGTTTAAATTCATTGGACAAACAGCTCATCCCAAGGAGCAGCTAATCTGATTAATCTCTCCCTCGCTTTGCACTAGGGAGATTTGACCAACTACATGGCATTGTTTTTTCTTTAATAATTTGTACTTCTTTTAAATTATAATTTAATATAAATTTTAAATCTTTCATCCATGTATTTTCCCATTGTTCAAGCATTAAATTATATCCAAAATTCTTTGCCCACTGAACCATACAATGCTTTACATACTTATTCTCCAAGTTCAGTTTCAATAGCAGTTTATAAAGCTTTGCAATAATATGTCCATCATTACCAGACAATAGAATTTCCAGTTCATTTTTTACAAAATCAAATCCATAGCTTTTTAAATCTAATTTAAACCTTCCAATTGTAAATATGTAAACCAATGTAAACAATGTCCTTCTAATTCTAAATCTGGTAAACCCAAACCTCTTTCCTTAGTATCTTGCAGTAATTTATATCTAATTCTTGGGGGGTTTGCCATATAAACTTAGATATGTCCATCTGCCATTGTTTAAATGCAGCATCAGTTATAAATATTGGTAGAGTATGAAACAGAAAAAGCATCTTTGGTAAGATATTCATCTAAATTACAGAGGTTCTACCCAATAAAGATAGTTTCAATTTGTGCCATCTTAATAAGCCTTTTTTAATATCATTCCAAAGAGGCACAAAGTTATTTTGAAACAATTTAGAATCTGTATTTGTCAATGTAACCCCCAAGTATTTTAACTTTTTCTCCATCTTAAAGCCCAGCTAAGAATTTGAGTCATATTCTTAAAAGCATTCTTGTTTTCTGTTTAGTTTAAAGCCCGCTAAAGCTCCAAACTCATTTAGGTTTTTCATCAAATATTCTTTACCGAAATCTGTTTAAATGTTACATAAGTTTAGATTCATTAGACAAACAGCTCATCCCAAGAAGCAGCTAATCTGATTAATCTCTCCCTAGCTTTGCCCTAGGGAGATTTGACCAACTGCATAACATTGTTTTCTTTTTAACAATTCTCTATTTTTCTTTTTCAGAATGTAAGCAAAGTTTATATACTACTGCAGTTGGACATCATTTTTTCTAGGTTAAGTCAGATCCTGGCTATCAACATGGTTAGGGCAAATCTTATTTTCAATATACTACTCTGCAGTTGTCACACTTTCTAGTAATTTGGCTTTCATCTAACTGACTATGATGCTTAGACAAATTTGAGCTTCTTTTTGGGAGGGGGAATTAGCTGTCCTGGATTTTCATGTTTTTGTAACAAGAGGCCATGCTCAGAGTGATGCCTCTGAAAATCCAAGGCCATGTCCTGAATTGTAAATCAAGTTGTTATTCTTTCTCTTTTCATTCTTTCTCTGTCCATTGTTTTTAACACATTGATCTCCTTGAGATTGAAAAATCCTACTAAACCAACTGGAGAGCTGAATCCTACTGTTACAATGCTTTGTAATTCAAGATAATAGACCCAAACATTTTCAGCCAAGCTGGAGTTTTTAAGAATGAGATCACTGGACTTTTTGCTGGATCACTACAATGTTTCTGTAGTTTTTTTTTTACAATGTTATTGTTTAACAAAGCTGATTGCAACCATGTAATGTTCTTTTAGTGACAATAACAAATGTGGGGGGGAGATACACGGAAGTAAACAAAATATGTGCACAATAATATAAAGATGCTTCCAGATACAGGATTTCTTACGCAACCAATCATAGTTCTTTTGCTGAAAACTAAAAGCAAGAATTACCACTGATTGTTCTCTCTTTGGTATCTGCTATTTTGCTATCTATATCTCATGATTTGTCTGTAAAATGGACATGACATGCAGCAAAATCTTGATAAAACAAACCTCCATTTAATGAACGGCAGGTGAAGAAAGTAGCCTTCCCACAACAGCAGAGGTGGTCATATTAAAAGGGCAAGATGGCTACAATGGCACTGAGCTCATGACCAGGAGGCCCCAGGCTTACTTTCATGGATGCACATAGTGACTGATAGGCTTCTTACATGAATACACCCTTGTACATGAATAATATCTTTAGTATTAAGGAATATCCCTTGACCCAAATAGTCTGGTAAATCAGGGTTTTGCTGTATATGTGTCTCTTTTAAAATATGTTTTAAAAGTAAGCTTTTGCCTTTTAGGGTACCATATTATGATGTCAGAGAATGACCACTGTGTGATCTCTGTGGTAAGATTGGGTGCTGTTAAGATTGTAGCTTGTTGGCATTGCTCTT